AAATCCAGATCCTGCTCCAACGTTATCTCTTGCTAACATAACATCATAGAGAACTGCAAATATGTCTCTGAAAATGTCTAGAACCACCCTTCCAAATGAAGACTGTTATTTCCAACATTGGGTTGATTTCTAGAGAGTACATGATTGAGTGAATAACTGGTCACATTTAAGAAAATATACAAGAGTCATTATGACTTCTCTCTTTGATTATCTGTCCCACAAGTTCTAAAAACTTGAGGCAAGGCAGCTTGTCCCATCAGGGATATAGAAAACCAAAGGTGGGTAAGGAACATATGCCCAATACACCTTCTCAGTAACCATTGTCAGGGTACTAGGCAAGCTCACAAGTCAGCATCACTCTTTGTCCCAGAATCTGCATTTCTCCCCCATCACTCTGGCAGCCATGATGCTCCTTCAGCATCCTGCAGAAAAAAACACAAACATGCCCTCTTCCCCATATTAGATATCTGATTGGGGTCATGCCATATACCAGTAAGAGGATCCTTCCTTTTTACCTAGGTATAAGTATGCCTAGTTGTAGGGTGCCATAGACACTCAAGTTCCTTGGCATACAAATATTTTGTAAAAATTTAAAATTAAAAGAACATGATTTAAATAAATGTGGGGTGTACAGGGATATACTTCCCCCTTCATTATTTTATGAAGATATTATTTTAAAGTTCCATGGGTTCCTTCCACAATACCTTGTCCTTGAGGATTATAAGGAATCCCAGTAATATGGGTAATACTAAATTGTTAACGAAAAGTCTCAAATGCTCGACTGCACTAGCCAGTCCCATTATCTGTTTATTATTATTGTTGATATTATTACTGGATATTTGTTTTATTACATTTCAGATGTTATCCCCATCCTCCACCCAGAAACCCCTTTTCCCATCTCCCCTCCTACTACTTCCATGAGGGTATACCCCCATGCATCCACCCACTCCTGCCTCCCTGCCCTCATATGCCCCCACACTGGGGCACCCAGCCTTCACAGGAAAAAGGACCTCTTCTTCCACCTATGCCCAACAAGGCTATCCCTCCCTACATATACGGCTAGAGCCATGGGTTCCTCCATGTGTGTTCCCAGGCTGGCAGTTTAGAACCTGGGAGCACTGGTTGGTTGATATTGTGGCTCTCCCCATAGGGCCATAAGCCTCTTCAGTTCCTTCAGTCTTCTCTCTAACTCCTCTATTAGGGACTCCATGATCGGTTCAATGGTTAGCTGTGAGCATCCACCTTTGTATATGTCTGGCTTTGGCAGAGCCTCTCAGGAGACAGGTATATCAGGCTCCTGTCAGCAGGATTATAAATACTGCTACAAGGAATGTGGGAGCAAAATGTCTATGAAATACTCATTTATGTTCCTTCAAAAGTATACCATTAATAGGATTAGTGGATCCTATAGAATATAATTTTAATATATGTTTTCCACAAAGTCCATCCAACTAATATGAATTCTCACCACCAATAGACAAGGGTCTCTGTTTCTTTGTATCCTTATGGCACCCTTTACCTTTTGTTTGCCTGATAAAGTTCATTCTTCATGGGAAGATATAACATTTTAGTGTGACTGTGACACACATTTTCCTTATGATTAATGATATTGCATATAGTTAAGATTTTGAGAGTCATGTGTATATTTGGTATTTGAAAAATATTTATTTAAAGCTTTTGTCCATTTTTCACTTGTCTCTAAGTTTTTGAGTTCTTTACATATTTTGTATAATAATACACTCTCAGATATATTCGTTACAAACATAGTATCTTATCTCATCCCATTGGAAGCTCTGTTCTCTGTTGGTCATTCCTTTCAATGTGTAGAGACTTTATGTAGTCTCACTTGTCTATTTTTGCTTTTGCTTGATATGACTTAGAGCAGCAGTTCTCAAACTGAGTTGTGACGCCTTTGGGGGAAGGGCTACATATCAGATATCCTGCATATTAGATATTTACATTGCAACTCATAGCAGCAGTAAAATTATAGTTACAAAGTAGCAACAAAATAATTTTATGGTTGGCAGTCAGTAAAACATGATGAACTACATTAAAGGTTAAAAACATTAATAAGGTTGAGAGCCACTGTGTTAGAGTCTTACTTTAAAAAATCAAGAATCCTTACCAATTACAATGCCCTGAAGCATTTTTCTTATCTTTTAAAGGCTTCGTATCTCAAGGTCTTACATTTAATTCTTGAAAATGTTTTCAGGTAATCTTTACAACTACAGAAAACAGGTTGAACTTTAGCTTCATTGTTCTGCATATGAATATCCAACATTCTTAACACCGTGTATTGCATAAGCTTAGCACATTTGTGGAAAAGTGAGTTGGCTGGAGATTTGTAGATGTGTTTATAGAAATATTTTAATCCTAAATGTGATGAATTCAACTTTTCCTATTGTTCAAAAATATAAAAATTAAGTTTTAGACTATGACCACAAACAAATCTATTTCTTCACATTCCTTTTAGTAATCATTAAAAACAAAAACTATTAGAAAAGAAAGCTAGAGTTTGTAATAGAAAAACATTATGTCTTGGTATTAACCTAAATATACATAACAACCCTTATCTTATAGAGTATATAATCATATGAGCACGGTATGTGATTGTATGGAGCTTGGTTCATCTATCCTCAATATGTTCCACAGTCATTTACGGCACAAAGAAAGCCACATATAAATAGACCTAATGGGTACGGTTTAAGATACTCTGGAAATAATGATGGGATACATTGTCAAAAAAAAAACTTTTAAAAACTTTGCACTATCTGTTTTGACAAAATAAATATTTAACTGTAACTTTCACAAAAAAATGTGAATTATAGTCACTCACTTACAAAAATTATTGTTGAAAAGACATATATTTCACAATAGTCATTTTAATCTAATATGTACACATTAACTCTCAAACCAGGAGAGAAATCTGTGTTCTCTTTTGTTTCCTAAGGCAATGTTCCTGTATGATATATTTAATAGCGATGAAAGGATGCAATATTTTGAAAACTTTGTTGACAGTTTTCAATTGATGTGAAGTGTCCCTCAAGAAAAGAGAGATCAGGTTCTGGAAATCAATAGAATAAAATGGCTGAAGCATGAAATTTCACTTATATCAACCAAAAGCTGATTTCTATTGGTACTGGAAGAAACATTATTATTCTCAGTACAAAAAAAATGTCATCTTGTATCTTGATCCATCATGCTTCTCTGCAAGTGAACATTTACACTTGCTAAGTGTGTGCAGACATGTGTAATGTATGAGTAGGAAAGTGATAACACTCACAAATGAGTGTTGGCACTGCCAAAATGGTGGGAAGAAAACACTGTTGTTCAAGCATTACTGTGGAGAACATGTGCTTGAATGCTTTAAGTAATAAGCAATATATTCACTTGAGAAATGAGTCATTATTGAATCACTTAAAAAATAGCAAGATTTTATATTTTGTTTTTCATTTATTTATTTTTGTGTAGGGGGGAAGGGTCATACTGTGTAGTTCAGATTCGTCTATAACATGAGCTTCAGCTGTGTTGGGATTACAGCTTATAAAGTTACACCCAGAAAATTCTCAGCTTCTTGAACAAAACATTCTCTCATTTCCTCAAGGGGAGACACTTCCTTAGCCATTTCAGTGTCTCTGAAAACTGATCCCTTCTTCAGCCTTAGAATGAACTGCAGCTGCTTCCTGCCCTTTTAGTCATGGAAAAGAGATAAAGAAAAGTGGCCCCAGCAGTCATAACAGCTGTCACTACCAGAGTGAGGACCTGGAGAATTAAAAATGAGATAAATAGTGTTGGCATACAATAATGATATAGAGAATTAATAACGCACCAGACAACATCCTCAAGATTGCCCCAGTTTTCCATCCATCAAAAGCAACTGAGAGTTAATTCTACTAAGTATTTCAACCAACAAACTGATATGCTTAACTATGGATTCTTTGCTCTGTTTCATATGATTTAATTGCATTACCCAGCAGAGGCTCACTTGGCAAAGGATTAAACTGAGTCACTGAGCATTTATAAAAGGATTTCTATCCCTTTGCAGTGAGGCTTTGAAAGGGCAACCACACAGTGTCAAATCTGTTTTCCATAGTGAACTGGTAGAAGTTGTGTTGGGTTATCATGTGTAGGGTAAGCTGTATAGGGGAAAAATCATGAAATAATTTTATCCAGACTCTACTTAACCCTGCCGTTTTTGGTGTTGAGACAAGATGCCAGAACACTTTGCACAGCTTCAGATCAAAGAAAGCATCTTGATTTTACATCCTGGTGAATATATATTAAAATGCTTGACTAACTTTGATGATTTGAATTTCCAAGGTACATTGTGTTATTAAAACTATTGTTCTTTTCACAGTGATCACTTGGTAAGTCAGGTTTTATAAAGAAGTCTGTATTTGTTCCCATGATTTTTTTCTTTACATTGCACTTTTTAAAACGTGTTTAAAACTTTTATAACACCCACATTTACAGTGTGCTAAAAGATTATCCAGAAAAATTGTGGGAAATCTACAGATAACTAAAACAGCAAATCTTGCTAAAGTGTAACTTGGGGATTGTGGTGTTAAGCAAATGAGGAACAAAAATAGGCATCTATTTAAGTGCAGGTAAGTGAATGTGTTGTTCTTAATCAGTTAGTTGAGACTGAGAATGAATTTAAACAAAGTACAACAAATTTCACAGAAAGAAAAGAGGAAACCTTGCTATAGAATTCAAATACGACTACCCAAAAGATAGGCATCTAATAATTTATATTAAGTGAAACATCTTTTTTCTCTACTAAAAATGTTTACTTTTAGAGATTATTGTATAATTATATCACTTCCCTTTCCCTTTACTCCCTCCACATCCCCAATATAGCTCTCCCTGCTCTCTTACAAATTCACAGCTTTTCCATGAATGAAAGATAAGAGCACATGGGACTGTTAAACATATATCTTTCATTGTGTTATTCATGTGTTAATGCTTGCTAAAATAGAATGGATTCATAATATTACTATGTGCTCACTTCAGCAGTACATATACTAAAATTTGGAATTATACAGAGAAGATTAGACTGGATCCTGCACGAGGATGACACACAAATTCATGAAGCACTCTATATTTTTATAAGAAAAATAGATTTAACAAGAATTAGCAAAATCACAAAAATGAATACTTATGATCCTTCTACTGAGTCTACATTTTCAACTTGTTCTAAGAGACAGAAAAGAGAAAATGGAGACAAAGAGAATGAAAAGACTGAAAAGAAAGCAAAACAAAACAATACAAATATAGCCAAGATCGAAATTAAAGCTGAAATAAATGAAGAGCGGGGGAGACTATGCAAGAGGAAGGCAGGTAATAGAAGAGGAACCATATGTATAGAAGAAAAAGAAGGCTAAAAGGGCCATATTATGGAAGAGCTATACACCAGCACAGCAGTTTTTAATTCAGAGAAAAAGAAAAAAAAGAAAGACAGACAGACACTGAGAACTAAGGAAAGGGAACTATAATTCTGTCAGCTGGACACATTACGTTTAAAATTCACTTGGGGCATATCGTACGCTCTGTAAAATAATCAAGGGAGTTAAACCCAACAGTGGCTATCTACAGCTTTCAAACCTTTTGTGTCCTGATAACTGCTGGCTAACCTTAGAATCTTCGATACACACACAAAAAAATATTTTCCTTGTATTAAAAATATTACTATTTCTCCCAGGATATGGCTCATGATGGCTATTATTATTGTTTCTAGACAATAAACAGATGCTCTTACAGAGGAACTGGGAAAAGTGATTGACTGTGAAGCACTGGATAGTTGTGGGTAACTGAGGTCAAGGCTGGCCATTACCAAAATATTACAGAAGTCATGAGGAACACGTCTACATGCCAAGTGTTTCCAAAAAGCACTGTTCCAGAATAGTGCCAGCTTCAGGGCTTCTTATTTTAAATTGAAATAATATATCTGACCTAGTTTAAAGTACAGAACTTACATTCAAGTAGGCTAAAGGCAATCTTGTCACCTGCCTCGTTGACACAACTGAGCAGATACTCCTGGAGTAGAGCTCATTATCTGAAGGCTTCCTTCCAGGCATGAGTCCAGTCAGGGCTTGTGGTCATTATTTCTCAAGGATAACGGCTTTTTTTTTCTGGTTATTTTCTCAAGCACCATATCTGATTAGAACACTCTTGACACTTGCTCATTTCCTCTTCCTTGCAAAGGCCACTGTTGAGAGTACCAAGACTAATGTGACAGAGTTTTTTTTTCTTATAACTTTAAGTTTAGGGAGAGCTCTCACCTAAGTTACTTTTTCAATTCCAAAATTGAATTTCAGCTCATTTGCTAAGCAAATGAACTGAAATTGTTTATTTACTAAACAGAATATTTCACAATATTGACAGCATGAGGTTCAATCACAAGAACAATTTTGTAAAGACTTTCTAAAACATGAAAATATTTTTCTTTAAATACTCTAATTTTGTAATGTTACTCAAAAGGGCCCTATTATATTTGCAGTGTTAATCAAGAGTTAAAAGACATGACAAACATCTATAGAAGTGTGTGTGTGTGTGTGTGTGTGTGTGTGTATGTATAGATAGATGATAGATAGATAGATAGATAGATAGATAGATAGATAGATAGATAGATACTTTTTACTTCAAATGGGTTTGTTTTATTTTGTTTATTTTTAATGCATATCACGAACTTCGACCCAGTATAAAAAAAACAGCCAATTATACTTCTCTCACCATTTTGTTTGGCCCTCTAAATAATGATTCTAATTCACTTTAATTAATTGTTATTATTCAAGTTAAACTGTTTACAAGTTACAATCAAATTTGTTAGATTCATGGAATCCTTTCCTGGGGCTTAACACTCAACGTTTGATGACTAATTTTTCGTGCTAGGAAGCAGCAGAGTCTTCTCTTTAGCTTCATGTTGGTGCTTTCCCCACCACACTGCCAACTTCCTTCCATTCTCATCCACCTTCGTAAATGCTTTCATTTCATTTCTCCCAAGTGCACTTTACTGAAATTACAGAACAAACCAATGGACGCACTGGGGCTTGGTAGTGCATTATACAGAGTATTTTCTTCTTTACATAGTATGTGAAATGATTCATTTTCCATTTATTGATCAATTTTTAATATTTAGAAATGTTATGTTTATGTAAGTAACATTAGTCACTCTAATTTATACTGTGTACAGAGATCATATAGTTTCCCCCACACATATTTACATATTAACATTCATCTATATAAATACTTAGATGGGTAAATAAACAGTATCTCAGCTTGTTATGTGTAACCAAAATTATCAGTATTTTAGTCAACTACTTATCTTTTATGTAATCTAAAGTGGGGTGTGTGTGTGTGTGTGTGTGTGTGTTGGTGGTTCTTATAGAATAACTTAAACCAATTTTAATTTCTTTTCTTATCACAACTAGGATGTGGTGCAGATTATCGTTAATTATAATTTCAATAGAAGCTAAATGATAAAGAAGGAGACACTCATAATCTCTGTTTTTAATGTCTAACTTTCTTAATTTGGCAAAATTCCTAGTACACAGAGAGCAGTTAATGCATATTTGATGAAGAGCTGAGTGATCTTGATTTTCTAGGACAGTACATTTGTTGTTCCTATAAAATATAACTTAGTTCACTCAGAATTATATTATTAAGTTCTGTCTTCTTGTTATTAGTAGTAAAATTCCAGATGTATTTGATTTCTGATTTATTTTATACATGCATGCATTTGCAAATGTGTACAGATGCATGTATTTGTGTTCTGTGTTATGGCTTTTTCTAACTAACATGGTTAACTTCTTCTAGAATGGAACCATATTATTTTAAAGTTTGTTTAAAGAATTCTTTTGTTCTGGTAATTTTATCCTCATTATTTTGTCAATTTTCTTCCCGTAGTTTGAGGTTTAATCTTGTGTATCAACTTTGTGGAATTTAGAACCAATCCTCTGAGGATATCTATGATATGATTTCTACATAGGGTAATTGAGGTGGGAGGACCCACTTTGATAGTGGGGATCCATGCTCCATTGTCTGGGGTTCTGGGTTGAATAGAAAGGAGAGAGGCAGCTTAATGCCTGCAGTCATCCCTTAATGTTTCATAACTGCATGTGCAAGGTGGCAATGTGATCAGTTGTCTCAGGCCCTTGCCATGGTGACTTCTCACTGTGGAGAACTTTCCCCTCAAAATGTGAATCTAAAAGAAACCTTTCACTTCCTTTATCTTAAGTTGATTTGTCAGGTATTTGATCACAGCTATTGGGCCAGGAATCAATGCACTTATAGTATAACAAGTTCTTCTTTGCATATTTAAATTAGAAGCCTCTATGAACTACTTCTTCATTATGATATGGATCCAAATATAAATCATCATAAAGATTTTGAAGGGCAAAAGTGAAGAATTATTTTTCTTTGGTTTTAATGAATCGTTCTACATTAATCTATTAGTATTCATACTTTTACTTTCATCCTGGAGAAAAAGCAATGGTTCGTGTTCTCAGGAGTGATCTTTGCCTCTTCAGTTCTACTAAGGTTAGAATGTTATCCTTCCTTCAAAGCAGCTGATCCATTACATGCTTCTCCTCCTCTTTGTATTCCTCCTCATCTCCTTCTCCTCCTCCTCTTTCTCCTCTTACGCCTCTCGTCCTCTCCTCCTCTCCTCTTTCTCACCATTTTTCTTCCTTTGCCCTACAATGCCTTCCAATTTTATTGACATGTCTGAATACTTACTTCATCTAAACTCATTGTAGTTAATTTCTCTTAGAAATATTTCTGTCTATGAACTATATAGTTAACAAAGATTCCACCTATGATTTCCTGGCCCTCACTCTCTTTATCTTTTTCCTTTTCTTCTGACAGCTATCTGGCACTTCAATTTACTAATGCTAATTTTTGAATGGTGGAATTCCCCTAAGATCTGTGCAGAGAACACTTCATTTCATATTTTCATCCAACCTCCTAGCATCTGGTGTCTCTCTATGTTAACACTGATCCACTCAAAGCCACCAGCCCACAATACATGTCTGACACTCATGTGTCCAACAGCATACCAGATATTTGATCTGTGTTACATGAACCTTAAAATGCATTTACACCTATATTATTTTTCTATTGTTATCATAAGATTACAAATATTGCAGCTTTGAATACTAGAAATTTATTTATTGTATGATTCTGGGGTTTTGAAATCATAAAACCAAGGACTTTTTTTTGCTAGTAGTCATAGGAAATAATCTATTTGCCAGCCATTAGATTTTTTTCAGTTCACTCAAACATCAGTTTGTCTTATGTTTGTCGGTCATACTTCCTTTTCTATCTACTATATATTATTCTCACACTCTTCTTTTCCTGTACCCTCTTCTATGATTGTACACAGATTCTCCAAGATATTCTTTTTCATTGAATGATATTCAGTTTAATTGCATGTGCAAGATCTATTTGGGGCATGAATAGTCAAACACTATTATGGTTTCAGTATTTTGTCATCAGCAATATATGTGCCCTCTATTCTGCTGAGACTCTTATTCTTCCAGTGCTTATTGTGAGTGAATGATACTGCCATACACTTATTAGGTCAACTCTGAAATCTACTGTGCCTGCTCCATTATATTCTCACACCACAAAATCAGTCAGCAAGCTCTCTTCATCCTGATACTTTGTTTTATAACTAATATGGTTTGTTCTATCTTCACTGCTACTTACAAATTTTAGACCACGTCTCAACTTTCTATCACCTCTTTCTACAAACTATGTATTTCTCGCATGATTTGTTCTGTTCCTAAACATAATTGCATTAGGCCACTGATTATAGTCAGTAATCCTCCACTTACCTCAACAAGAAGATTAATCTTATATTCTTGCTTTTAAAATTACCTTGAGTCATTCCTAGATCTTACATCTTGCTGCCGCTTTCTCTTTTTTCCTGTTTCTTACAGAACTAAATATTTTCACGAGTCCTCAGCTTTTATGATAAAAGTCATTTAGCTCTCCCTAGAATATTTTGTTTTATTTTTCACTTCAAATAGCTGACTTCTAACACCCCCCTCCATAGCCTTGATGATATCTAGTTCTGGACATGTTTTCCTTCTTTTTTTCAGGTCAA